AAAAACTATTTTCTTACTGTAATTTTTAAAAGTTTAATTAAAGTTCTATAGTTGATAAGTAGAAACAACACAGTCTTCAGTAAATTAGATGTGTGGCACCTCACTTCCATCACTGATGTGAGCAAATGGCACCTTACATTAGGAAGTAACATTGATTGTGGAGTGTTCTGCTCTCTCATTCAGTTTATCTCATGCAAGGCTCTGAACAGGGCTCCTAAAAAGACATTTTCTGTGGCACTGTTTTGCCTTTACCACAAGTCAGCCTCTTCAGATCAGGGATGGGGAATGTCTGGCCTGTGGACTGTATAAGGCCCATGAAATAATTTGGTCTGGCCCTGCCAAGGCATGAGGAGTAAATTAATTAAAGGTTTGACCAGATACAGCAGGCTAATTTTTAAGTTGATAATTTTGTATGGCCCGAGAAGATGTTATAAATATCCAAATAACCCTAGGCAGAATAAAGGTTCCCCACCCTTGCTTTATTTTTTTATTTTTATTTTTTTATTCTTTTTAAAAAAAAATTATAATAAGTATTACAAACGGTATTACATATGTGTCCTCCCCCACCCCGCCCTTGACAATCCCCTGCCCTCCCTTACCCCCCAGTGTCTTATGTCCATTAGTTATGCTTATATGCATGTATACAAGTCCTTCGGTTGATCTCTTACTCCCCTCCCTTCTGCCCCCCAACCCTCTCTGGCTTTCCCACTGCAGTTTGACAATCAGTTTGAGGCAGCTCTGCCTCTGTATCTATTATTGTTCAAAAGTTTGTAATGGTCTTTATTATCCATGAATGAGTGAGATCATGTGGTATTTTTCCTTCATTGACTGGCTTATTTCACTTAGCATAATGCTCTCCAGTTCCATCCATGCTGTTGCAAATGGTAAGAGTTCCTTCTTTTTTACAGCAGCATAGTATTCCATCGTGTAGATGTACCACAGTTTTCTAATCCATTCATCTACTGATGGGCACTTAGGCTGTTTCCAGATCTTAGCTATGGTGAATTGTGCTGCTATGAACATATGGGTGCATATATCCTTTCTGATTGGTGTTTCTGGTTTCTTGGGATATATTCCTAGAAGTGGGATCACAGGGTCAAATGGGAGTTCCATTTCCAGCTTTTTGAGGAAACTCCATACTGTCTTCCATAGTTGTTGCACCAGTCTGCATTCCCACCAGCAGTGCACAAGTGTTCCTTTTTCTCCACATCCTCTCCAGCACTTGTCGTTTGTTGATTTGTTGATGATAGCCATTCTGACAGGTGTGAGATGGTACCTCATTGTTGTTTTGATTTGCATCTCTCGGATGATTAGTGACTTTGAGCTTGTTTTCATATGTCTCTTGGCTTTCTGGATGTCCTCTTTTGAAAGGTGTCTATTTAGATCCTTTGCCCATTTTTTGATTGGATTGTTTATCTTCTTTTTGTTAAGTTGTATGAGTTCCCTATAAATTTTGGAGATTAGGCCCTTATCAGATATGACGTTGGCAAATATGTTTTCCCACGCAGTGGGTTTTCTTGTTGTTTTGTTGATGGTTTCTTTTGCTGTGCAGAAGCTTTTTATTTTGATGTAGTCCCATTTGTTCATTTTCTCTTTAGTTTCAGCTGCCCTAGGAGCTGTATCAGTGAAGAAATTGCTTTGGCATATGTCTGAGATTTTGTTGCCTTTGGATTCTTCTAGAATTTTTATGGTTTCCTGTCTTACATTTAAGTCCTTTATCCATTTTGAGTTTATTCTTGTGTATGGTGTAAGTTGGTGGTCTAGTTTCATTTTCTTGCATATATCTGTCCAATTTTCCCAACACCATTTATTGAAGAGACTATCTTGGCTCCATTGTATGTTCTTGCCTCCTTTGTCAAATATTAATTGAGCATATTGGTTCGGGCTAATTTCTGGGCTCTCTATTCTATTCCACTGATCTATATGTCTGTTCTTGTGCCAGTACCAGGCAGTTTTGAGAACAGTGGCTTTGTAATACAGCTTGATATCTGGCATTGAGATCCCACCTACTTTGTTCTTTCTCAGGATCGCTGCAGCTATTCGGGGTCTTTTTTTATTCCAGATGAATTTTTGGAGAGTTCGTTCTAGATCTTTGAAGTAGGCCATTGGTATTTTAATGGGAAGTGCGTTGAATTTATAGATTGCTTTGGGTAGTATGGACATTTTAATGATGTTGATTCTACCAATCCAAGAACATGGTATGTTCTTCCATCTGTTTATGTCTTCCTCTATCTCTTTTTTCAACGTCCTGTAGTTTTCTGAGTAGAGGTCTTTTACCTCTTTAGTTAAGTTTATTCCTAGGTATATTAATTTTTTTGGTGCGATGGTAAATGGGATTGTTTTTATAATCTCTCTTTCTGAAAGTTCACTATTGGTGTATAGAAATGCCTCAGATTTCTTGGGGTTAATTTTGTATCCTGCTACATTGCCAAATTCATGTATTAAGTCTAGTAGTTTTTTGATGGAGTCTCTAGGGTTTTGTATGTATAATATCATGTCATCTGCAAATAAGGACAGTTTTACTTCCTCTTTTCCAATTTGGATGCCTTTTATTTCTTCTTCTTGTCTAATTGCAATGGCTAATACTTCCAGAACTATGTTTAACAGGAGTGGTGAGAGTGGGCATCCCTGTCTTGTTCCTGTTCTTAGGGGAAATGGTGTTAGTTTTTGTCCATTGAGTATGATGTTGGCTGTGGGCCTGTCATATATGGCTTTTATTATGTTGAGGTATGATCCTTCTATTCCCACCTTGCTGAGAGTTTTTATCAAAAATGTCCCCACCCTTGCTTTAGATGGACTGGACACTTCAAACTTTTTTAGTCAGATACTGATCTTTAGTGTCCCTAATCTGTTTCTCAACCTTATTCATAACTTGGCAGTAGGAGACCAATGAACCCTTTCTTCTCTTACCAAATTCCATAATCACTATTTACTTTCTCCAGATATGAAATTCTGCTTCCTTCTGGTGCTCAGGGTTTTTTTTCTACCTTAAATGCCACCTCATCTGATGCTATACCACCTTTCTGACTCAGTTCAATATCATTGTCTTCCTAGAAACTGCTCTGGCCTTTAGTGACCTCTTTCTCCAAATCTCCATTAACTACCACACTCTTCTAGTTACTCTTACCTTTCTGTTCTGGTGTAGAAGAGGGACTCAATCAGCTTATGCCAACACAGTGACTAAAGTGAAGGGGCTTATTAGAATGGCAGGGGCTGGCTGGAGGGAGTAAGGTGAAGTGTTTGTATAGTTACTAAAAACAAAATCTTAGGCCAATCTGATGTGCTTTTACTTTTTAAATTGTGAAACACAGCCAGTAGGTGTACTTTCATATAGTGGCATCTTCCAACTGCTAAGAGCTGTTTCATGTTGGAACAGTGTGTTCAGTTAGCTACTTAGGATTTGGAAACACTATATGTAGTGATTACTTAACAAGTCTAACCTTCAGTAGCTTAGATTACTTAACAAGTCTAACCTTCAGTACCATATGTACCAGAGGAAGGTGGTTGTTAGCATTCTGTAATATCCAGTCATGAAATACACCTGAGTGTCTGAGTGGGATTGCATTCACACCTGGTGGAGGGATGGGGGCGGAGGTGGAGGGATGGGATGGGGGTTGGTGAGGTGTAGAAACACCACTCCCTTGCTGCAGTTGGTATGGTTCTCCCTTTTATCACTGTAGCATAGTTCGTTGTATTAAAGACCAGGGGACTGCTTAAATAAACGTAAAACATTTACATATACTCTAGTATACAGAACAGAATGCTACACTATAGAAACAGTGAGGTAGATCTGGGTACTAGTGAAATGGCCTCCAGGACAGATTAAGCAAAAAAAAAAACAACAACACACAAACAAACCAAAAAACAGTATAGAACAATAGGCTACTCCTGTAAACAAAGGAGACCTGCATATTCATGTATGTTTCTACATGTATGGTCTGTCTCTGGAAGGAGACATAAGCTGGTGGCCTCTGGGGAGCAGAATTGCTGAGGGATTAGGGAATCAAAGTTAGGAAGGGAGTTTATTGGCACTGATATGGAGTGCCAATAAATATTAATAATATTTATTACATTTATTATTAATAATTAATAATATTAATAATTAATATTAATTAATAATATTAATATGTCCATATTAATATTACTTTTTAAAAATGCACACATTTCCTCAGTATTGTGTGCTGCACTCAGTAGTAGAGTAGTAATGCCTCTAAGGCAGCATTGCTTTGAAATTCACAGAACTTCTCTCACACCTGTCTTCCCCCATTCCTATTCCTGACTGTTACAAGCACAGTGAATATGTATTTGGTTTACCACTTGGGACAGTAGAAGGAACAGCTTTGCAGTCAGATCAGACCTGTCTTACTGGCCTGTATGATTACTTTCTGAATTGTAGCTTTCTCATGCAGGGAATATTAAAACTCGGATCTGTTGTAAGGTTTAAGTAAGAAAATGTACTTAATAAGCTAGCATAGTGATGGGTATATAATAGGAGTTTGATAAATGATAATTATTTCAATTTTAATTGGATAACCAAGGGACATTTAAAAATACCTGCTTTTCTGACTATACTGAAATTGGAGCATTAACATATCTATTTCCCCTGGCATGCTACAGTGGAATATAACAAATTTTGAGTGCCTCTTGACTCCTAGAGTAGTTTTTAAGTGAAATGGCTTATTTTCCTTTTTTTTTTAATCCAATAAAGTCTTTCAAATAAAAGTGATATTCTTTGTTTTCCTTTATGTAAATGGGCATTTGCTAATTTTTTAAAATAGTTTGTGTGTGGGTAAATGCATTAATGTATATTATATGTTGACTATTATTTATTTATGCAGATATCTATCTAGCACGAAAGTTTTAAACATGAGTCAGTTGTATAGATTACAAGTCAAAATTTGGTAATAATGACTATTAGAATTTCTTTTTAATGTAAATACATTATTTAGATGTAGGTTTTTTTGGAGTAATATGTATATTTTCTATTAATTTTTTTTCAGCTCTTTCAGTCTCCGATGGCACCAAAGTCTTGTGTGTCCTCCCAAGTATCTGATGATGAACAGAGAGTGAGTATATCTTTTAAATAGATCCATAAAGTACTCCAGATTATCTCTGTGATTTCAAGATAATTATTCAGAGACCTAAGAGACTTTTGTTTATACTTATCTTGAATGTGAAATAACTTTAATGTTTATTCAAGTTAAAAATCAATGATGGAGTGAATAATTGCTATGTTTCCAGTGTCTCTATCCTACTTGACATTAAGCAAGTTAAAATTCTAACTGAAGACTAGCACTGCTTTTGCTGGGCATACTTGCAGAACTTGGTGGATGTGGAGAACTCCTGTAGTTCTTGAGAGTGTGGGAAGTCACAGGACAGCTGTCAGATGCCTTCCTGAGTGTGAGGTCAGACCTTAATGTTTCCAGGGTCTTAAAGTCCTAAATGGGCAGTATAGCAGGGATGTGTTTCAGTAATTCCTAATAAAATTTATATTTAAAAGGATGGATAAATTTAGCTTGGTGAAAGAGAGGTTGTCAGTTTTTTAAAAAAAGAAAATTACAAATATAAGCCTGGGTAATTCGATAAGATTAAATAATTGCCTTTAGTTCTGTGTTCCAGTTAAGTCTCTTCTTATTTTTCCTTCTTTCTCTTCACATGCTAAAGTCCTCATGGGTTCGATAAGTCATAATCAGACCACCAAACTGCCATCCTTTTAATTTTTTTCTCATTGGTAATAATAGTATATTTCACCTTTATTTTATCTCCTCAAAGGCTTTGAATTACTCTTAATGTGCCTACTAACACACTGCTTTGCTGAAACTATTGTCATAGTAATCTTTAGTGACTAACCTATTGAGTGCTGATTGCTTACTCCTCATTTTCTCTGGCCCCTCTTCAAATAATTTATGGTGACCAATCCCATATTTTTGAAAAGCTTCTTTTGTTTTCATGACATGAAAATTACATAGCTTTACAAAGCTTTTCAGCTTTTCGTCTGGCACTTTGAATAATTGGAGCCATATTTGCCATTGATTTTGATGTCTGATACAGGTGTGTTATTTCAATGTGTTGGTTCCTACCCCTCTCTGTTAGCCATATGATTATTGTAATAGCATGTCTTAAATACTCGGGATTATTTTGAGATACACATATTAGCATAATCCTAATTATTAATGTAATAAAAAGCCTCTTAGCTTAAAAAAATTATATAGCTTTAGAGCCACAAGGAATTCTGCAGCCACTTAGTTCAACTTTTGCATATGCTTATCAGATAACAAGAATTATTTGAATCTTCTTGAATACTTTCAATGACTGGGAAGCATAGTGTTTCTTCACTCTCCCTTTTTTAAATTATAAAGATAATATGCTTACATGACTAAAAGGGATTAAAGAGCACAAAAGAAAATACAGTGTACTGGTTTTCTGTTACTCCATAACAACTTGCCACAAATTTACTTGGTTAAAACAACACCTGTTTATTAGCTCACTTAGAGGTGAGAAAGCCAGGCACAGCACAGCTGACTTCTCTGTCCAGGGTCTCACACTCAGGATGTTGGCTGGCTGGGTTTTTATCTGGAGGCTCCCCTTCTAAACTCAGTTTGTTGGCAGAATTCAGTTTTTGGCAGGCCAGTTGCTCATCATTCTTAGGTACTTGCTATGTGGCTCCTTTGTACCCATACAACAGTGTAGAACTGGAATCCCCTTCATGCCTCAAACCTCTTTCTTCAGAAGTTCTCAGCCCTATATCACACTTGATGATTATAGCTTTGAGTAGGTGGTATAAGTCCTTCAATCCTGTCTTTTACAGAACTGTTTTTACTATTCTAAATCCTAGATTTTCATATAAATTTTAGAATTAGCTTCTCAGTTACCATATTGACAGCATATAGTTGGATCTTGTTCTTTTATCCAACTTGACAATTCCCTTCTTTTAATTTAAATGTTTTGTCCTACACTGTCCAGTATGGTAGCCACTAGCCACATGTGCTATGTATATTTAAATTAGTTAAATAAAATTTTAAAGTTACGTCCTCAGTTGTATTAGTTATATATTTTTTATTGTCTAAAGTATTACATGTCTTCTTTTCCCCCAATTCACACCCC